CATCGAGCCAGCTCAATGGTAAATTAGTGAGACCTTGATGCCAGTCTAGTACTATGTTTAAATTCTACATATCAGAGTGAAGAGTTCAGCCAAACAATTACCATGAAAGTCTTTATAGAAAAGGCACAGAGAGGCAACCTTATGACTGGGAAAGTTACTGAAGCTGAGATGCCATTCTTCTTTGTATTTTATCAGAAATTTCTAAATATACACCAGGAGCACCAAACCATAAGTGGCAGCAATATTCTAAGCATGGATGAATGGTAGACTTATAGATGTGTAAGATAGATTTTGGAGAGCAAAATTGTCTTGCATGACACAGTGAACCAACTTTTTTAGCAGCTGACCTAGCAATGAATTCAATAGAGTTTTTCCATTTCATGTCAGCTGAGAATGTTAGCCTGAGAAGGTACGACAAGTCACTCTCATGGAATTTAGCATCAGGCATATTGATTGAAGGCAGAAAGTGGTCTCTTAGATGATTAATAGAGAGCTGTTTAGTTTTGGAGATGCAAAAATTAACAAACCATTCTTTGCCCCAGTTAACAACAGACTGAATGTTGTTTATGACATCAGCTACCAATTTGATGTTATTGAACTGATCAGACTTACTTTTGAGGCAGGAATAAATGGTTTTGTGCCATCAGCATAGATACCAAGTTGAGAGCTGATGCCATTGGGAAGGTTATTAATAAAAATAAAAAACAAAGTAGGACCAGTATCTGTCTATATTTCTGAGATGAGGTATTATGTACATTATTTACATTATTCGGACTATTGTCCTCATCTTTGTCACCATATTTATTACAATGTTTCGGCCTTTCAGTATCTGTCTATATTTATGAGATGAGGTATTATGTACATTATTTACATTATTCGGACTATTGTACTCATCTTTGTCACCATATTTATTACAATGTTTCGGCCTTTCAGTATCTGTCTATATTTCTGAGATGAGGTATTATGTACATTATTTACATTATTCGGACTATTGTACTCATCTTTGTCACCATATTTATTACAATGTTTCGGCCTTTCAGTATCTGTCTATATTTCTGAGATGAGGTATTATGTACATTATTTACATTATTCGGACTATTGTACTCATCTTTGTCACCATATTTATTACAATGTTTGGCCTTTCAGTATCTGTCTATATTTCGGAGATGAGGTATTATGTACATTATTTACATTATTCAGACTATTGTCCTCATCTTTTGTCACCATATTTATTACAATGTTTCGCCTTTCAGTATCTGTCTATATTTCGGAGATGAGGTATTATGTACATTATTTACATTATTCGGACTATTGTACTCATCTTTGTCACCATATTTATTACAATGTTTCGCCATTCAGTATCTGTCTATATTTCTGAGATGAGGTATTATGTACATTATTTACATTATTCGGACTATTGTCCTCATCTTTGTCACCATATTTATTACAATGTTTCGGCCTTTCAGTATCTGTCTATATTTCTGAGATGAGGTATTATGTACATTATTTACATTATTCGGACTATTGTCCTCATCTTTGTCACCATATTTATTACAATGTTTCGGCCTTTCAGTATCTGTCTATATTTCTGAGATGAGGTATTATGTACATTATTTACATTATTCGGACTATTTTACTCATCTTTGTCACCATATTTATTACAATGTTTCGGCCTTTCAGTATCTGTCTATATTTCTGAGATGAGGTATTATGTACATTATTTACATTATTCGGACTATTGTCCTCATCTTTGTCACCATATTTATTACAATGTTTTGGCCTTTCAGTATCTGTCTATATTTATGAGATGAGGTATTATGTACATTATTTACATTATTCGGACTATTGTACTCATCTTTGTCACCATATTTATTACAATGTTTCAGCCTTTCAGTATCTGTCTATATTTCTGAGATGAGGTATTATGTACATTATTTACATTATTCGGACTATTGTACTCATCTTTGTCACCATATTTATTACAATATTTCGGCCTTTCAGTATCTGTCTATATTTCGGAGATGAGGTATTATGTACATTATTTACATTATTCGGACTATTGTACTCATCTTTGTCGCCATATTTATTACAATGTTTTGGCCTTTCAGTATCTGTCTATATTTCTGAGATGAGGTATTATGTACATTATTTGCATTATTCGGACTATTGTCCTCATCTTTGTCACCATATTTATTACAATATTTCGGCTTTTCAGTATCTGTCTATATTTCTGAGATGAGGTATTATGTACATTATTTACATTATTCAAACTATTGTCCTCATCTTTGTCACCATATTTATTACAACGTTTCGACCTTTAAGTACCTATCTATATTTCTGAGATGAGGTATTATGTACACTATTTACATTATTTGGACTATTGTCCTCATATTTGTCGCCATATTTATCACAACGTTTCAGCTGTTGTATGTTCCAGCCTTCTTCAAGGTGGTAAAGAACTTTGAGAGGGAATTAACAGGAGATAACTGACATTTATTAGGCATGGCACATAGAACTAGAACAGTCTACTCCAGTGAGCGAAATAAAGGGTTCAGTTTGACATTCCAACTACCTGAAGAAGTACAGAGTGTACAATGGCTGAAACATTGTGATAAACATGGAAACAAAGATTCAGACAATAGTCCGAATAATGTAAATAGTGAAAATAGGACCAAGTACAAAAGGATCTAGAGGAGTGGCCATTTAAGACAACTTTCATTTCATGATTTGATAAAGACTGTATCAGGTCAAAAATTTGTCCAGAAACACTGTAACTTTTCAACTTGTGAAGAAGACCTGTATACCAAAACCTGTCAAATGCTTTTGAGATGTCAAAAGCAACAGCCAGAGCTTCACCATTTTTATCTAAAGCTTGTTAGACTCTTTCAGCAATAATTGTTAATACATCAACAGTTGATCAAGAGAAATGAAAGCCATATTACTTGTCTGAAAGTATGCTCTGCGATGTGAGATGCTTAACCAATTCCCCACTGATTTTGGCCTCTTGTAGTTTACTAAAAAGAGGTAGACAGCTAATAGGCTGATAGTTGGAAGGGTCGGATGCTTCTCCTGAGTTTTTAAAGACTGGAACAACAATCAGGAAAGCAAGAAGTAGGAAGGAATTTATTATACAGTTTAGAGAGAACAGGAGCCAGCTAATTATATCTGTACATTGAAAGAGAAGAACTTAAAAGAAAAGCAGTTCTCATAACATGATAAAACCAATAAATACAAAGATAACAGATTATCATTTTGAATCTCTTGTATTCTTTTATAAGCTTATGCAGATGACACTGCATTGATGGCAAACTTAGAAAGGAAACTGAAAAATTCTTAGAGAAGGTAGTAAAAGAAAGCAAGAAGAAAGGACTATTGATTGTAAGAAGATAGAATGTATAATTGTTAGCAAAAGGGACAGTTTAAAATGGGAGTTACATATTGGGGATGTTAAAATCAAGCAGGTACAGAAATTCAACTATATAGGTTGCGTAGCAATTGTTGGATCGAGTGATTTGTTATTTTATGGCTTATCAACCCTTTGCAGGTTATTTAAAACCAGAAAATATTTTTAGATTGTAAGAATTTTTTTTGAGATAATAATGATTTAGTGATACTTACTAATTAATCTAAAACTGGGTGGAGAAGAGGTAGATTCATATGTTTTCCAAAGGATATCTACACATAAGTGAATATAATGACCTCAACAGGAATTGGAACTCAGCTCTTTGATTAACAATTTCAAGCCATTATCCATTACACCACCTGCACATCCAAGCTTATATCACCTGGTATTCCCAAGTAGTCACTCATCTAACCAGGCTCAATGTTGCTTAACTTTGGGGATCATACAAGAATTAGTATTTCAATGTGATAATCCTATCTATCTATTTCATTACATTCCTTCCTTCCTTCCTTCCTTCCTTCCTTCCTTCCTTCCTTCCTTCCTTCCTCTCCTCTCTCTCTCTCTCTCTATCTATCTCATTGCATTCCTTATCTATCTATCTATCTATCTATCTATCTATCTATCTAATTACATTCCTTATCTATCTATCTATCTATCTATCTATCTATCTATCTATCTATCTATCTAATTACATTCCTTATCTATCTATCTATCTATCTATCTATCTATCTATCTATCTATCTATCTATCTATCTATCTAATTATGCTCATTATCTACCTCGCTAGCTTGCGAGCTAGCTAGTTCAATCTATTCATATCAATCTACTTTGGTCTGTTCATATGTTTCTCTTCATCTATCTTTGTATCTATCTCAGTCTATTCATATCTATCTATCCTGATTTCTTCATATCTCTTTCCATCTATTCTGTAGCCTGCTATCTATCTATCTATCTATCTATCTATCTATCTATCTATCTATCTATCTATCTCAGTCTGTTCATATCTATCTGGTTGGCTGGCTTGTTAGCTAGCTAACTTGTTAGCTAGCTTGCTATTTAAGTAGAAGCTGAAAAGTTCTCAGCTGAATCCACTTTCCAAAATCTGGCCAAACATCAGAATTTTAGAGGAGACACTTCAAGGCCCAGCAAGAAATTTGCAACATCCCCTTACATATATATTAAAGACTATTTTAGTGTCATGGTTTTAAGAAGAAAAAAATAATATAGTATAAAAGACAAGGTTGTTGGCATTCCCAAACATATTTCAGTCTTGATGACCTTAGGATTGTCAGTCCAGCAAGTAGAGGGATGATAAATATATAATGTGAATAGATCATTAATACTTATTTGTCACTTGCTAACTCAAACTATCAGACAATAATGGCAGCCATGGAGAAAGGACAAAGGTTGCATTTTTGTGCAGGGAAATTGACTGAAAATTGTAAGTAGGTCTTTGTATATTTTTGTTAGTGCAATATATCAAATGTTAAAAAAGATTGTATGAGCATTTAAGATACAGATGATGCATGTGTCTCTTAAAAATGAATTGGAGAGTAGTACGTTTTTAAAATATGTAAAAATATTTTGATGTAATTTGA